AAACCAAGTCTAGTGGTTTACAAACGAGAAGTGTCACAGCATCGAAGTGACATGCTGGGAGATGAATACTTGGGGCTGAATTATCGGGGGTTGTCAGCACCACATTCCCAGATCCTCATAATCTCCAGGAGGCTGTGGGTGTCCAGCCCGCAGGAAACGCAGCCATTCAAAGCAAATTTTATTCCAAAGCTGTGATGAAAGCCACGTATAACTCCTGTGGAAATCACAGACTCATTGAGATTGGAAAAGACTTTTAGGATCATTGTKAACCCAGCACTGCCACCTCTAAACCATGTCCCCAAGTGCTCCATCTACACACCCTGGAAATCCAACCAGGGATGGAGCAGGAAGAATTCAGAGCAAGTTTCAGAGCCATGCTAAGCCTTTTTGGTTATTCCATTTAAAAMCCCCACAAAATCAAAACAAACCACRCAAAACACCCCAYAGGAGGACCTAACAGCAAGAGCCAGCTCTGATTCAGTAACGCTTTTGCCAAAAGACATCCAGCCCTGTATTCCAGACCAGCAGGAACTACCTGAAGCCCAGAGGTGCCTCCTTCAGATGGCAGTGGAAGSCCAGCCAGGTGCTGCGTGCAGGAATTCACCATCACAGCCTGCACCCAACAGCTCCAACCCACGGCAAAATCCCTCTGGGAGACTCTTTGTACAAAAGGGAGGCTCCAAATGCTCTTAACTGCTCAGTCATGAGCTGCTTGTTTAACCCCCCTGTGCCAGCCAAGCACAGCACTGCTGTATTAATACAATTGTGAGCAACAAATCTCGCTGCTTAATATGCAAATTCTCCTGATCAGTGTTGCAGAGAAGCACCATGAAAGCAGTTATTGTGACTTCCTATCAGCCATGTGATAAGCAGCCCTGCGCAGCACTCAAGGAAAATATTTAAGGAACTGTTGTCCAGTTGCTGAGAGCAGAGGTGGAGCACAATATTTGCCTTTCTCCACGTTAACGAAGCTCCAGCACGGCAGCAAACTCCACGGGAGGGAATTGATGTTTTGAATCATCTCCCATTGCTGCAGCCCTATTTCCACTTGGCCCTATTCTTGCTGCTGGGTGATGGGGGCAGCAGCAAAGAAGCCAAATTTCAAACAGAATCAGCATCTCTGCCACCAAGGAAGGGCGCTAAGGACTGCAGCAGGCGGGTGAGCATCGTGTCAAGGAGAGCTCAGCAGCAATCAGACAGCTGCAGGCACAAGGATTAATCTGGAATGACTTGTCCTGCCCGTGCTTCCAGACACTGCATTCCCTGCTTTTCCCTCGTTCCACACAAATAACTGTCTCGCTGAACTTCACAAAGGAATGTGCAACTCCTAACAGGGGTGAGAGTTTGCCACCTGAGAAGGAACAGGTTCCTCCTTTTCCTTCTCGCTGCTCCCCTTGGAGGAAAGGGAAGAAATCGAGGAACCCTCCAGGAAGGGCTCTGTGGTGATGGGAGCTGGCACAGCTCTCCTGATTTCRCTCAGTTGAACATACCTGATGTACAGGCACAAGGGCAGAGTTTGCCAGCAGCTAGCTCCAAGCCCAAAGCTCTTCCAAAAACACAGGTGAGGAGGTCACACAAGCTGGAAGTGGCTGGAGAACAGTTATTTCTTCCCTGGTCTCAGCATCCTGCAGGAACTCGGTCACCTTTGACAGGGCTGGAAGAAATGTGGTGCTCAGCTCCTGAAATCTTGGAATATTAGGTGGGAGACAGCTGAACTAAAGGGATGAAGTGGGGAAAACCTCTATAAACCCATTAATGATCACCTTTTATTCTTCCTGGTATCTCATTCAATGAGATCCCAGTAAATCCACCCACGACATCCACCACAATTGGCTCTGCCCGACTACAACACACCRAGCATTCCGACAGGAACTTTTCCTTATCTGTGCCAAACAGCATCCTGGTGAAATGAAGAGAACAGTGCTAATGAAACAGCTGGTACCAATCTGCAAAGCCCATTTCATTTCCAGCAGGATGGGCAGAGCAGCAGCTGTTAAATTCTTGGTGAGGAACAGCCTCCTCCTGCTCCGGTCAATGCCAGCAGAAGCGGGCAATAAGCTGGGCTCTGATTAGCTCCATCTCACAATGCACACACACCTGAGGATATCCAGCAGCTCTCCCGACACACATAAGCATCCTGACCTTGAAAAATGCCCAGAGTGAGAGACAAAGGAAGCACACGTGGCCAGGACATGCCGTCAGCTCTGCCGAGCCGCACACAAGTCACGGGAAGTGCCGGCCATTGACAAAAACACTGAGGAGAATACAGGGATGTGACAAATCCTCCTCTCAGTCCAATAACACAATTGAGCATGATTGTRCCACTCCCCAGTGCCCTGCAATAAMCTGAAACTGGGATGAATCGGATTTGAGATGTGGCTCCCGCTTTCACCCAGCATCACACACGGCTGCTGCTGTCTAATCAATCTCTCGCAATTCTCCGGGAAACTTTTCCACTCTGGGGAAAAGACAAAGCCTCTCCAAAATAAGTCCATCACCAGCAAGTTAGAATCACCACATTTCTGTTCCAAAACACCTTCCTATGGTTTAGAAATGTTCTGGCCCTGCTCACTGGCAGCAATCTGAAAGCGAATGTACCAGGCTAGGTCACAACCCGGAACTGGAGGAAACGAGCCTTATTTGGGGAACAGGAAAAAGTCATCTTTCTGCACAGGTCTGGTCTCCCAGTCGTGTTCACTTGTGTTTTAGCTGGTTCACTGGCTGATGCCTCCAGACAGGAGCTCCCTGGAGAGAGCAAGTCAGGTCTCACACTCGCTGTGGGCACGGCGGTAGAATTTGTAAAGCTCCGACTGAGCACCAGCTGGACTTCAACATCAGGGGAGTCACATTTAGAGAAGACACTCAGAGGTTCTTCCAGCTTCACCTACCCCCCTTTTTTCCTTGTGGAGAGGCAGGGACAGCTCTGTAGCATTACAAAACAGGCTATTGCACACTGGAGCTGATTGTTTAAGACAGTCCTAAGAAGCTCATAATTCAAGTGAAATTTCAGCGCTTCTCACTTCAGCGAGACAACCTTAAGGAACGTTACCCTGCGAGCATGAATCAACACGAGCCAGCTGACACGCATTTCACATCTCTCACATCTCGAAAGCCCAGCTGCTGTTGTAATGCAGCAGGCACAATGGGTTATTTAACCCCAGAGCAGCAGTGCCATGCCCTGGGAGCACCAGGCAGGGACAYGCTCCTGTCACATCCACAGAAACCCTGCCTGCCTCACCCTGCTGAGGAGAGTGGAATCTATTTTACAATATCACCCAAACCCTGACAATGTTCTTCTCCTATCTCATTCATTCGATAGCACAGGCGAGATAAGAGCGAGGAAATGAAACCCAGCCTATTTCTGTGACATGATCTCACCTCATAACACCTAGCTACCAAAGCACATCTCAGCACAAGCKCCTGTGGGGCTTTTAATGCTATTTTTTTGTCAAGATTTTGGGGCATGGGATGATGCCTGCCGTCCTTTTTCTTGTACTGGTTCATTTGTTCAGCACTCTTGCAGATTTTTACAGGTTGGTAAATCTGCTTAGTACAGATGMATTTTAGGTAACCCATTTCTTCTTTTTTTTTCACAGAAAGAGTAAGGAAGACTCCTACTACTCAAAGCTATAAAATCCCTTTCAATGACACTGATGTGATTAAATCCACAGGAGGTTGTGGAGTCTCCCTCYCTCTGGAGACATTCCAAACCCACCTGGATGTACTCCTGTGTCACCTGCACTGGCTGACCCTGCCTTGGCAGGGGAGTTGGACTTGGATGATCTCCAGAAGTCCCTCTCAACCCCAACTATTCTGGGATTCTGTGAAATTCCACATAGTTCTTTGCAGCTGGAATTCCTGTATTTCCATGAACTCTGWATCTGGCATTAATCAGCAGATGGTCGGTTCAGATACAACTCCAAGCATATTTTTACATTAYGGAATGACAGCAAAGCCACTGATAGAAAGAAAACCCATCAGCTRGGACATCCGAAACAAACCCAGACAGATAAATAACACTCTGAGAGACACAGGGGAAAACGCAGACCTAGGTCAGCAATTTTCCTMCTGAAATCTGTGGCCCCTGCATRTGTAAGGACTACTTATAAGTCAAGWGTCCTATTGGTAGGCTGTCTTGAAATGACTATAAAACACACACAGCTCAGCTGGTGAACATCAGGGGTCCACAAACCTGAAAGCGTTGAAAAAGCAATCATTCAGGCATTTAGCTGGAGAAAAAAACACGAGGGGAGAGGCTGCTGAGCCCGCAGCGGTGTTCGCACGCCGGCTTTGCTCCCCAGCTCGGGGTGCGCTCGCACACGAGGGAAGGAGGGAGGGAGGGAGGCAGAAGGCGCTGCTCCAGCATCTCCAGCCGCYGGGAATCGCTCCCTTCGCACGGGCGGCTCAGGCTGCAGGAAGCACCTCTCTCTCGGCTGGAAAATAAACCCCGGCCCCGCAGCAGCGCCAGCAGCGAAGCGAGCTGAGAAGGAATCCTTTTCCGCACACCACGAGGAGCGGAGCCCGGGGGAAACAAACTTCGGGAGCCGCGGGCAGGCCCCTTCCCCAGCCGGGCTTTATCCGAGCAGCCGCTGCCCCGGGGCCGCGTCCCCGAGCCCTCCAGCACTGCCCGGCGACACAGAGCCGACACCGCTCCGCGACAGCGCTCCCCGGTACTGCCCGGCGACACAGCCCCGACAGAGCCCCCGACACAAACCCCGACACGCCGGGGCCGCGGGCTTGGGGCGGGGGCTGTGCCCGCGGGGCTGTGCCCGCCGAGCTCCCGCCCGGCCCCGCCGCCCGGCAAAGTTCGGGTGAACGCGGGGGAGCGGCCGGGGCGCGATCCGGGGAACGATCCGGGGCACGATCCGGAGCAGCAGCCGGACGCGGCGCTCCGAGGCCGGCAGAGGCAGCGCGGCTCCCCCGCCCGCCGCAGGCCCCGGCCCGCAGCGCCCGCCCCGGGGTCCCCCCGCGGGCCCCCCCGGCCCGGTACCGGCGCTCACCTCCGGTGCCGTCCGAGTTCTCGTTGAGGCTGCCCGAGGAGTCGTGGTGGGAGCCCACACACCCGCCCATGGGGCCCGCAGACCCGCCGCCGAGCCGCCCCCCGCCCCCCTCCCCTGCACCGAGCTCCGCCGCCGGCCGGGCAGGCGCGATGGCTCCGGAGCCGCCTCCCCGCTCCGCAACACCGCCCCCGGGGCGCGGCCTCCGCCCGCCGCCCGTGCCCGCCCCGCCCCGCACCGGGACCGGGAATAGCACCGGGACCGGCATCGGGATCACCCCGATACCGGCACCGCACCGGGACCGGGAATGGCATCGGGACCGGGACCGGCAACGGGATCATCCCGATACCGGCACCGCACCGGGACCGGGAATAGCACCGGGACCGGGACTGGCATCGGGATCGCCCCTATATCGGCACCGCCACCGGGACCGGCACTGGAACCGGGACCGCCACCGGGACTGGGAATGGCATGGGGATCACCCCGATACCGGCACCGCCACCAGGACTGGCACCGCTCTGACACCGGCAACGGGACTGGGACTGCGACCGAGCCTGGCACCGGGACCGCTCGGCCACCTGTACCGGGACCACCCCGACTCTGGGACCGGGATCGGACCGGGACCGTCCAGTCCCGGCACCGGCATCAATACCGCCACAGGAACCGGCAATGGGACCACCCCGACACCGATACCGGGACCGGCATCGCCCCAACGCATCCCGGG